TTTTCCCTTCCACTTGCGGCTGCATGTTTGTTGGTTAAGCCGGGATATCCCTTCTATTTCTTCCTCTCGCACCATCAACCGCATACAGCTTGTTCGCTTGTTCGTAAACGATCGTAAATTTCCAGTCGGGAACAGTATTTTTCTCTCACACCAAACCAGCCAGCAGTAAATAATCCACGATACAATACGGCCTCCCGAACAGGCCTACAAGTACCCCTACTCTGTAGGACGGACGCCTAGTACGTAGCTTTGCCTCCTGAATCCGGTCCGCCAAGTTCTCCGTTTGCACTGCTTGCATGTCTATTTTGATTTTCGTTTCTGAAAACTACGCGGTTTCATTTCTGAAAACTTTCAGAGACAGCTGCTGCTCCTCATCAAGACTTCAAGAGTATTTTGCAGCTTCACTAGTACACGTGGAACGTGGAGTTGCTTCGTATATTCTTTGTCAAAAAAAAATGATGATCTAACAGCTGAGAATAAATAGAGTGTTAATGTCAAATACAAAATCTATACATTACAAGATTAATCAAGAGAAAAGAATATGCACTGTTATATTCTATGATGATCTAATGGCCGATAATAAATAGAGTATTCATGTCAAAAAAAAGTCTAAATTACGAGATAAACCAAAAAAAATATGCACCGTTCGATTTTATGCTGATCTAATGGACGAGAAGAAATACAGTATTTATGTCAAATATAAGGCCCAAAAATTATGAGATTAACCAAACCAGAAAAAAATAATATGCACTGTTGGATTTTATAGTGATCTAATGGCAAAAAATAAATAGTGTATCCATGTCAAATAACACGAAGGTCTAGAAACTGTGAGATTAATCAGAAAAATAGTAATGTTAGATTTTATGGTGACCTAACGGTCGAGAATAACTAGACTATCCATATCAATACGATCAATAATCAAATGTATATCGATGCGGCAAGAAAGATATTATAATCTAATTATATATAATGAAGACAACATATGTAGATGCGAATTAAACCTTTTGCGGATGGCAACTCGATTGCATGTAATTAGATGATGCTACGGAACAAATTCCAACAGTACTGTCTTGGGTGGAAATTAATTAGAAGAAAAAGGGTACTAAGAATAGTGAAGCATTTTTTTTTTGCCCCTCGATCATGTTCTCTTGACAATATCGTTGAAGGTACCAAATAGAGTCGTACTTTTTCAGCGAATAAACAATGTTTTTCTCTCGCAACAAATCAGCTAACAATATTTTTCAGCCTGGCATTTCAGCCAAACGAACGTGAGTTTATAATACAAAATAAGTATCATTAAATTAATTATAGAGTATATGTTCATAGTAAATCTAGTTGGGGACATAAATGTTACTATTTTTCACTATAAACTTGATCAAATTTAAGATAGTTTAACTTGCACAGGTCTTATAGTTACGTTCCTTTTATGATAGAGTGAACCCTGAACCGTTGGTGTTTTTCAGAACCTCACCCACCACCCAGATTGAACCGATCCAAAGGATCCTGCCAGTTTACGTGCAGAGATTTAAACCAGACCAAGCTTATTTACTTGGACAGTTGGTCCCTGCTAGTGAATAGCAAAGGGCAAATAGACCAGATTCTGATTCTCAGTGCCGTGACACTGATGATAACACGAGCACGGTACGACTGTCTGATGATTCGTGCGCATCGTGTGCAATAATCGCTGGAGATCTCGTCCGCGGCCGCGGCGATCCTGGCAGTGGCAGGCGAGAAACACGATCCCGGGCTCACAATCCTTTCACGCGCTCCCTGATACGATAGCATTAACAATGGCGGAAGCTGATACGGTCCATGATCATTGCTCGCCGCAAAACTCCTGGCGAAAAGGTGGCTCCTGCCTCCACTCGATATCATCTCCTGCCCCGGTCGGGGGCTCGTGGCCAAGCGATGAAGACGACGACACACCATTGTTTTGTTAAGCAATCCGTGGAGGGTGGAGCGATAATCACCAGCAGCAAAGCAGCACGAACCTTTTTGTGTGTCAGAGCGTGCGGCTGTTGACCCACGTCGCTGGAGAGGCTATTCGTTGGGTCGTGGAAGCACATGCGCGCGACACGTACCGTACGCGCCGGGCTCCACTTGCAACTTCCACTCCAGTATTTTTTCCCCCTTTTGAGAAATGCAAAGCTGTATGAATGCCGAGTGGCACGCACAGGTGCACAGTTAGCAGGCACATGGATCCACCCATGCCGGAATGCTGGCCGCCACCATTTGTGCGTGTGCCGGAGTGGCTTGGCGCGAATCGTTAACATCTGATTACCTACCTCTCCCACTTTGTCAGGTCCCCGAGCAGCCGAGCCGAGAGACCTGGGGACGCCCGGTGCGTTGCGTGCGTGCCTGACGTACGGTATGCATCATCTCATCCAGTGTCTTTATTATTATTAGTTATTTATCAGTTTAGCTCCTCCTAATATACGCTCTATTAGATAGTAGTAAAAAGAGAAAGATTATTCGTAGTTTTCTCAAGCCGGTTGGTTCAAGTGCTAATCTATTGAAGCCATTAGAAGCCGGTTGTCAATAATCATCATTGTATTGAAGCTCGTTACTTTGTCCATTGCTCCCCCTATCCTCGAATCCTGGCTCCGCCCCTGACCTCATCGCCGGTGGAGTACCGGAGTCCACTCCGCTCGCCCACACGCACGCGGCCGCCCGTTGGCCCGGCGAGCGACCAGGACCGTGCCCACCGGCACGTTTCTCCATCTTCGGGGCATTGCATTTTGTATTGTACTCCGTATGGCGCTTGCAGTTGCAGCAGCGAGCTATTAGAGGCCGTACGTGTTAGTCGTCGCGGACGACTAATCGGGCGATAACGCCAAGCTTTTCGGAGTTAACGCGCGGGGATCCATGCAAAAAGGCGCGGAATCTTCGAGGCTTAACGAACCCACAGAGAACTGGAGTGCATTTTACGTAGTACATGATTGTTAATGGCCCGTCGCTGTCTTGGCGAGCTCACGGCCACATGACCGCCGGTGTTTTTGAGGCAAAGCGAGGCTTTGACTTGGCATCCCAATATCCCATACCCATAGGGCTTAAGCAAATGCAAGTCCTTTGCCATTTGCAGCCGCAGCTGATTAAAAACAATCAGTGACACTGACGTACGAGTACTTACTGACGATCTGCCTAGGAGTATATATATATATAGCTACAGTAATCGTACAGCACGTAAGGCCAGCTGCAGCGCAGCCCTAAACCTGACCTGACCGTGTCCCTGCTTGCCTGGCTGGCTGGCGGCAAGCGTACACAGCCTTTTACCTGACTGTGTCCTCTGCGACTGCGGCGGCAGACTCTGCCTCCTGAATCCGAACCAGCGACAGCGAGCGACGGCCGGCTGCTGCTCGCCGCTCCTGTTGCAGATAATAAAGCCGGCCGGGGCCCCTACTGATGCAACTGTTTTTCAGGTGCGCAATTGTTCCCACTTCCCCACTTGTTTTTGGTTCCTCAAATTTCCAGAGTGTTTTCCAACGCCCATTTGGCAACATGTACGAGTACGAGTACGTAGAGTGTTTTCCAGAGTGTTATCCATGATGCAGCAGCAGCCATTTGGCAACATGTACGAGTACGTAGAAATATATCGAAGCAGCTAGAAGCCCAGCACAAAGCTAGGAAAAACCTTAGCTTGCTAATCATGGCCCAAGCTACTAGTATACTCGTAGACTAATAACCATGCCAGATTAGACCAACTAATGCATGGGGCTGGATCATACTATACGAGTATCTGGTGCTGCTTACCTTTCGTTATCACCTTTCATAAGCCAGACCAGACAGCTCGTTTCGGCTTAATTTCATTGTTAACATGATAACATCACATCACCTGAAATAATAATAAAAAATACTCCTATGCTACTGCACACCATTCCATCCCCGTGTAGTAAAGTGCCCGGGTTCCAGTCTCAGCACCCGTGTGAACACGAGCAAATGGTAGGAAGAAGAATCGGCAGAAGCGTGCGTGACCTTGCTCCCGTGGTCGGAAGGTCTAAAGGAGGATGGAAGTATATATCCAGTCCTCTTGACAGCTTAAAAGGTGGGTTTTGTTTATCAGGACTAAGGAGGAGATGATGGTGGTGGCGGTGATTCCCCTTCACCCTCATCACATGCATCTTTTTTGCGCAGCCCTTTTTATCTATTGCGTTCACGCGTTGCGCCTGCACTTGTGATGCGCAGTTTGGACATCACAAGGGGATGGGGATGAAGCTTTTGTCCGGATGGATGAGTTGTACTGTTTTTTATAACAGTAATATGTAGGAGTAAGTCTACTACAGCATTACACATGTGGCTGCAACTACAAGGCGAGTTTTGGGCCTTTTACACCACCAAACAAAATTAGGAAACGCTAATACTACCAACAAACAATCTGTCAGATGAATGCCAACAAGTATTTTACCTAGGTTTGTGTAACACTTTTCTGACTCCAGTTTTTGGTGAAGCAGTGCCCTCTTCTTATATACGTAACGTCAAAAAATTAGTACTACAAAGGAGGATGGAAAGGTTTGTACAACCTTGCCTTCCATCATTTTTATTTTTCTACGATGAAAGGACATGCTGTTAGAGTCGTAGTAGTACTACTAGCACTAGCAGTACCAACTCAACCTTAATAAAAAAAGGCATCAGGAATCCCAGGGCGGGCCGGCCCACCCGGACCCGGCCCGGGGTCCGCCGGTCCGGCCCCAGCAAAAACGACGCGACCAAGTGGATTGGAAGACCGCGTCGGGGTTAGCCCAGCATAAGAGGCGCCATTAGACGGCGACGGAGACCCAAACAAACAAACAAACGCCTCTCTCTCTCTGACCTTGGAAACCAAGACCAGAGACCGGAGCAAACGAGGCGGGCGGCCGGACTCCCTCCGGAGCGGAGGAAGCGTCCAATCCAACAGCCCCGTCGGCCAATCCCAAGCTCGGTCCCATTCCTGTGCCCTCCAAGTACCCTCCGCCGAGGTCTCCGTCTCCCTCGGGCCATCATCCTCTGATCCTACCGCAACCGCGATGGCGCGTGGCGGGCGAAGATCGGCGGCGGCGGCAGGGGGAGAGGCCGTGGAGGGCTCTCGCAGTAGGTGAGTGGTGTGCTCTGAACTGAATTCTCGCTGTTCTCTGTTCCGTTTAGGCGGCGGTCGATCTCACGAGGCAATGGCACAGTGATCCGCTGTCCGTTTGGTTTTTCTTAGCTTCTCCATCGATTTAGTTGTGGGCGCGTGATTGATTGGAACAGTCCCAACTGCTCTGAAAGAGCACCGTTGTCCATGTGATTCACATCAGAATGGTAAAACTCTTAGTTTTTTCTTTTTATTTTTGGAATGTTGCGCTCGGTTCCCTGAAAACTAACCTCGTTTTGCTTATGTCCTGCAAAATTAGCCCGGAAATTAGTGCTGGATTTTTGGAGACCCATCTCCCTGATTCCGCATACTTTTTTTTCAAATTTTTGTCGGTTGGAAATGGAACAGCGTCGTTGCCCACTTGCCCTTTCGAAACGGAGTCCTAGCATTTACATTTTTTTTTTAACTTATGCATTTACATTTTCCCACCGGTGCGAGCGGACGCCCAATTTATTGGCGCGGTGGCCCACAGAACACATGCAACCAAGCGCTTCGTTTCTGATCAGTTCGATTTTTTTTTACAAAATTCACTCTAGCAGTAAGTAAATTCTTTCGGTTCAATGGTTTCTTTCTTATATGAAAAAAACGAATAAAGAAATTTGTCTTCCCGTTGTTCTTTGACTCTGCATTTCTGCGTACAAGAACAAAGAAAACTATCTTTTTCTCCACTAGTACAAGGTTCTGACCAAAAGATCAAAAAAAACTTTAATTTAATTTTGTTTCCCCCACCGGGGCAGTTCCTCTCAACTGAATGGCCGCGACTTTAATGGCCATGTACGCGGAGAGCGGAGTTACGCCCCTACGCCTGCGGCCCGGTCGGCGCAGCGCAGATGCAGGAGACAAAATAGGAGGCGGCGCCCGCCGGCAGGCACCCCCCCTGCTCCTGCTCCTCCCCTTCCCGCTTTCCCATCCACGGTACGCTACGCCGCAGAGGCTGTTTTTACTCCGGGGCACCAGCACCACTCTAGCCTTTCCGCGCTGTTTTTCGCAGTTGCTCCGCCAGTTCCCTACCTCGGGATCTGCGGGCTCCCGTCCGGTCCCGTGTGGGTTGTTGGTGTTGCTGTGTGTGTTCTTCTTGCTTCGTCCGCCCGGTGGGATTCCCTAGGTGCGGCGGCTTGAGGTGTACGGGTGTCGAGTTGTTGCCTTGTTGGTGAGCATTGTCAGGAGTGCCGGACGGAGGCGGCGGCGATTAACGGTCTGTTCGGGAGATCGTAAACTCGGGAGACCCTAAATGATCGTCTGCTGATTTGGTGTGAGAGAAAATGGGATGGAAATTTACGATCGTTTACTACCGAGCACAGGCTGTAAGATTAACCGAGGCCGCTAGGTTAGTTTAGTGGTGGTTAGCCTGGGCCTGTGCTTTCTTTTGTTTGGTTTATTGTTGACAACCTGTGACAGTTCACAGTTGTGGACCTGGTAAGCACTGTTGTAGTACTAGGCTACTAGCATTTGCTTTGCTTTGCTTGAAATGGTAGCGGTTTGCATTGCTCCACGAGTGAGGATTTTTAGTTGGTTCTGAGTATCTTGCTATAATGCTATATGCTGCTCTTTTGGCCCATCTTGGCGAACTTTCCTCTTGTCATTCGCACTGTAAACAGTGAACTGCTGCCGAACTGAACTTTTTTGGCTCTCTCTGGTTTTGCAGTTCCATTTTATGCAGACCTTCATACTTCCTTTTTGCATACTTTTCTTTAGTAATTGAACTAGTTACATCCTACTTTACTTAATACTCCTAGTCGTACGCATCTTTAATGTAAACAGAATTTACTTTTGGTGCGTGCGAATATTTTTCACTTGAAGTTGGAAATTTTCATTTGAAAAGATCTCGTCCACTTGCCCATACCTTTACCGGGAGTCATTTTCTGGGGTGCTGCTCCGTCTTCTTCTCACGTTACCACCCTTTTTCCTCCTTTACCATAGCCTCATATTTGCATTGTTGATTGCAGATGACAGTCTGATTTCCCACAGCCTTCACTGAGTGCTAGAGCCCCTCCGTGTCAATACACTGTTTGGTGCTGAATCATATTCATTGAAGATGCCAAGATCTGAATCAGACAGCGATGATGTTTTCTTTGATGCATTTGAAGATGTTCGATCTCCAGGGGGAACCTTCATGTTCAGAGGATTGCAGCACAAGTGATGAAGTTTCAGTGCCAATGACATTTGAGTATGAGATTTGGGCAAATGAGCCAATGAGTGTTCAAGAAAGGCGGCAAAAGTTCCTTAAAGGAATGGGATTCGATGATTTTGTTTCTGCCAGAACAGATTCTTTCCAATGCCATGGTGAAATCACAGCTGTTGAGTCTTCCACTGACATGGAGGAGAGAAGTGTCAGTGGCCATTCTTCCGTGGGTACATCTGTTTGTGACAATGAATCGGAGTTTGACAGTGCCTGTTGCATAAGGGATATGGATAGTGGAAAGAAATATATTGTCCACAATGGTGCACATAGCAGTATAACGGACATGCTCAAGGAGGTTGGATCAGATAAGGTGATGTCTCTTCTGGAGTTTGAGAGTTTGCTTGGCCTCTCTCGGTCTGTTCAGAAATTATTGCGGAGGGATGTGGTAACAGTCCTGCAAAAGAAACAAAAAGTGCTAAGAAAAGGATGTCAAAAGCTTGTTGAAGAAACTCGTGACAAAGAGAAGCTTTGGTGGCATCTGCAAGTATGATGTACATGTGAAAAATTGCACAAATAGTATACCAACCAGAACAAGAGTTCAACATCGGAAGAAAAAATTTCTTGAATTCTCTGCTGTCTACATGGATCAAGAAATTAGAGCTCACAAGGGTTCAATTAGGGTCATGAAATTCAGCCCATCTGGATGGTATTTAGCAAGTGGTGGTGAGGATTGTGTTGTACGAATATGGCAAATTATAGAAGTAGAAGCATCTCCTAAGTTGTATAGGGGAGAGGATCCCTGTGAAAAGGTGGAGAAAGTTCAGGTCATTAATACAAATATAGAAAAGGGGCAGAACCAGGGACTTGCAGTTATACCCAAGAAGGTTTTTCGTATATCAGAGACTCCATTACATGAATTCCGTGGCCATACAAGTGATATCCTTGACATGGCATGGTCCAAATCAGATGTAAGTCTTCCTTTGTATTCTGCATACCTCACATATCTTACTCAGACCACTTAACCTATATTCACTAACCTGTTTCCATGCATTATAAACAGATACTCCCTCCATTTTTAAATATATGGTGCTTAGGACAAGCTAATTAGCTAAAAAATAAACTAATTAGGTTGTCACTAAACGTCGTATATTTAAAATGGAGGGAGTATTAGTTAGTGCTGTTTCCCTGTTAAATTCCTTACCCTTTTTTTTTTGCCTTGGTTTGACTGCAGTATCTCTTAACATCATCCAAAGATAAAACAGTGCGCTTATGGAAACCTGGCTGTGATGGTTGTCTTGCAGTTTTCAAACACAGAGACTATGGTAAGCTGAATATCTGTGAACTATTATGAGTTTTGAAAACTTAATCGAATCGTTGCTCAATGTTGATATCCTCTGTGTAGCAACATTGCTGTGATGATGAGAAAAACCTTGTGATGTTCTCAGTACATTGAAGCATAATAAGAACTTAAATATTTTTTCCTTGGAGAAGAACCTGACTCTCTTCTGTTCCTTTGTAATTGATAACAGTAACATGTGTTCAATTCAACCCTATTGATGAGAAATACTTCATCAGCGGTTCATTAGATGGTAAAGTGCGCATTTGGGATGTGTTGGACAAGCGAGTAACTGACTGGGCTGATACGCGAAATATCATAACTGCTTTGAGTTATCAACCAGATGGAAAGGTGTGAATCAGATACCATTGTCATTGCATTTTTTTTCCATAAGTGGGTTCTAATTCATGCTTTTGCAAACCAGGGTTTTATTGTTGGCACGATTGCAGGCGCATGTCGTTTCTATGACCAATCAGGTACATGGAGGTCTTTTTTCTCAAATGTAATTTTACTTATGTCGAGTGTTTCAACTTCCATGTGTAATAGTAAACCATGGTAATCGCCAAAAAATATGTTTACCAATAATTCAGTACTAAGAGTGAGTGGTTCAATTTTCCTTTTTAGGTGAAAACATCCAGCTAGAGAAAGAATTGTTTGTGCAAGGGAAGAAAAAATCAGCTGCCAGTCGGATCAACAGTTTACAGGTTTATTTCTCCCTTGGCTCATACTGTATGATTTTTCTGCAGCGAGTTTGTGGAAGCACTAGTATCCTTGCAATTATTAAATCAAATCAAATTGCTAATTTGTGACCTCCGCTTTGCAGTTATGTACAATTGATTCCACTGGGATTATAATTACATCAGGGGGTTCCAAAATTCGAGTCGCCAATGGTGATACCATCCAAAAGTTTGAAGGTAGATTCACACAGAAAGTAGAAACTCATCATGTTTCAACCATGTTACACCTCTTGACTTCAGTTACTGATAGATGCTGCTGCTTTTTTTTTTTAACTTATCTCTGATACAGGGCCTTGGAAGTCAAAGGCTTTATCATCACCGTCTTTAACATCAGACGGCAGATATCTTATATCTGCCGGCAAAGATTCCAATGTCTATATTTGGAACTTTGCGAATTCTGGAGATGCAAAATCAGTTCATTCATGTGAGCTGTTCTTCTCCAAAGATGTGACTACTGCGGTACCATGGCCTGGAGTGCACCAAGATGGGCACACGAAGCCTTCCTGCCTGAATGAGAAATCATCCAGTGCGCCGATTTTGCACCACCACGAGGAGTGCCAGTCCCCTGGGCCGTGGTCGTTCGTGGACAGCAGCAAGGGATCAGCGACATGGCCTGAGGAGAAGTTGCCTTCTACTGCAAAGCCTGAAAGCAGCCCGCAGCTGGGCGACTGCCTCTCCTTGATATCCGCCGCGTGGAGCACGGTCATCGTGACCGCCAGCCGTGATGGCGTGATCCGATCTTTTCCCAACTATGGCTTGCCCGTTAGATTGTGAGCTTCAAGACTGGTTTGAGCTTGTCAGTGGAGCGCAGCTGTGGTTGGTGATCGATAACCTGCTAACGTTATGAAGTTCTTTCTCTCTCTCTCTCTTTTTTTTTTTCTGGTCAGAGTTACTAGAAATTCTTTTTGTTACATTTGTTAGATCATGAACTTCTCATGAAGAGATGATCTGTAGTCAGTCCAAGTCCAAACACTTGTGCTGCTTTTTGCTGGATGGTTGTTACAAGGTAAAAAATACAACCATTCAGTTATAATTAGTATCAAGGTGGCCTGCGCAAGTAGCACGGGTGGTTAGCTTTTTTTCACTAACATCATCAGGATGTATTAGTTGAAAATATTTTAAAATAGTTTGATTACTTGTTTTTGTTGTAATTGTCTTATCTCTATGTGCACGCACTGTATCTATCAGCAAAAATTTTATAGTTATCTTCAACCAATTCATTAGCTTAAAGGGTTTTTCCCCCCATTCATATACCGTGATTGTGCATTTTGTGCTGAGGCAAAACCAAGATAGCCTTTAGTTTTCTCTCGATGAACTCAATTCTCAATAAAACAAAGTCTCCTGTACATGGTTTAGTTTGTTGTCCCTCTTGTAAATTTAAATTTTGGATAATCTTGGACCTTTTATTGCATACTTGTAGTTACCTATTTTTGCAATGCTACTCATGTTTGCTAGGGCCACTACTGTCTCAAGCAGGCAGAACATCTATCGGACCCTCGGGCCTTTTGAAAGAACCGTCGAACTAATCTCAGACCTGCTATCCATGCTCTCGCGAAGAGAAAAGCCAAATGATCTCTTGCTCTGCTCTGTTAACAGCAAGGTAGGAAGGAGGAAGGAATCGGAGTTTGAGGTGGGAAGCAGAGCAAGGGACGGCAACAGACGAATCTCGATTAGTTTGGGGAATAGTTCATAGCCAACTCCAACACGCACACCTACTTAAGTAGACAAGCCGAACACGCTGCTATTACATCGCCTCAGCCATTGAGCCATTCTGGGCCATGGTAACGGACGCTCTTGGTCTTGGGCCTGGGCTTCCGGCCTGCTTCTTCACTTGGCTTGCCTCCTTCTTCAGTGGCCGCTGTTGCCTGACGGTGAACAGGGCCGGTGCTGACATGCTCGTGATCTTGTGACACATGCACATTGTGGAAACGATGGACCAATTGCATGTGCCCGACGAAACATGTTCATCCCCTAGGCCACCACCATGAAAATCGTCATATTTGAGTCATAATGATTGGAATCAAAGCATTATGTATGGATGTGCAAAATTAATATGGGCTTGTATATAGCGAAAAGTTTGGGTGCCAACAGTATCCAAGCTAATCTGGAACAGTGCTGGGCCTGGTGTTTTAAGTGGCTACCTCAAGGACAGAAGGCACATGTCTGGAGTGTAGCTGCTGTTTGCTGGGCCATTTGGAAAGCAAGGAACAAAGCACGTTTTAAGAAAAAACTGATCAAAAACCCTATTGAGATAGTTTGCCATGCATGTGCGCTAATGAAGTATTGGACATGTCTATTTGTCGAGATGGACAGGAAGACTCTTGAGGAGGGGGTCAACATGACGCTGAAGGTGGCCATGGACATTCTAGCAACCAACCGTGGGAACAAGCAGGAGGTTGCTGGGAGGACTGAAGACCCAGAAGATGATGGAACCCGCAAGAACTGACAAGCTCCCTGGCGATGTTTTTTTGTTGTTTCTGCTGGTGTTGCTGCTTGTGCTATCTGTCTGTATGATGTTTAACTCTGGGTAGGGGTGCTGGTAGTTTCTGGTTCTAGCTGGAAGTTGGTTGCTCGTTTAGCTGTTAGAGCTCTACTAGCCTTTTGCAGTTTTTTTTTATTCTTTTAGGCTCCTCTTGCGCAGGTGGTCAAGCGCTTTCTCTCTGCTCCTATGCTCTTTCCTGTCCTCTGTAAACTCTAAAACTATTGTATTTCCGTTCTCTGAATGCAAATGGGGATCCTCCTCAGGTCGAAAAAAAATATGTATGGATGTGTCCTATTCATCAATGTCAATTGTGATGCCAAAACTTTTCGGCGAGGAACATGTGAAAAGAGTGTCTTGGTGAGCTTATGCTAGGTGAGAGAACAGGCTAAGATCGCCGATGTATAGAGTGTGATAGGGAAGGAGCAGCATGTGGATCCAAACTACTTCGATGTTTTTCATGGGCAATGCCAAAACATTGATGTTTGACTTGAATAGCTCTTGCACATCCAACTTTCCATAGACATTTTGTATGGTTTTCTTGTTTTTTATTACCATGGTAAAATCAGTTGTAAGCTATTTGAATTTTATGCCATCGTATTTTCCGTACTTGAATATGTATTAGATTCTTTATTTTTTTTAATACCTTTTGATAGGTCGAAAATGTTACAATCTAGACCTATAAAATCAATGTGCTAGTTTTTAGCGCTTATAAGACTAAAAGAGTAGTGATTTTTTAAACTTTACTGGTAGACTTTTTTTTAGTTTTTTTTGGTAGTTTTAATGTTGATTTTAGAGTTTTTAAAATTAAAATTTACATGGATTATTTAGATATTTTATCTTTCCTGTTAATTTGGAGATTAAACTATTATTTTTTTTATAGTTTTTTTGAATTTTGTGGCTACTAATTTTGCTTTATATAGACTACTTATTTAGATATCTTCTTTTCATCTCTCGTGAAAATCAAGTTAGTTACTAGTATTATCTGTCTCCGAGGAAACCAGTGCCAGTACTTAGCAGCTGATGCCATGCTGTTGGATGTGGCTGATGTCAAAGAATCAATGTGGCACCTTTCTGTCCATGTCAGCGTTTAACTCTTCTTCTGTCCATGGTAAAATCAGTTGTAAGCTACTTGAATTTTATGCCATCGGATTTTTCCGTACTTGAATATGTATTGGATTCTTTATTATTTTTTATACCTTTTGATAGACCTAAAAATGTTACAATCTAGACCTACAAAATCAATGCGGTAGTTTATAGCGCTTATAAGAGTAAAAAGTAGTGAGATAGTGAATTTTTAATCTTTACTTATGGACTCTTAGTGAATTTTTTTTATCTTTACTTATGGACTCTTTATTTACTTTTTTGTAATTCTATGTTGAATTTAGAGATTTTCCTAATTATTGTATTTTACATGGATTATTTAGATATTTTTAATCTTTCCTGTTCATTTGGAGATTAAAGTATTATTTTTTTATAGTTATTTGAATTTTTTACTAATTTTGTTCGGCATCTTTTTTTCAACTCGCATGAACATCAAGTTAATTACTATTATCTGTCTCCAAGGAAACCAGTACCAGTACTTACAAGCTGATGCCATGCCCTTGGATGTGGCTGATGTCAAAGAGAATCAACGTGGCGCCTTTCTGTCCATGTCAGCGTTCTTCTTCTCCGCGTCGAGCGTGGACCCAAACCAGACCCAGAACCACAAGTCTTGATGTTTCGTCTGCATTAAGGTCAAGCCGGAGAAGACAACATCACCTAGTAGTACACTGCACTGTCCAATCCATCCAGCCATCCTGGATCCAGTGAGGATCTCATGGCCGGGAGCAATCGCCTGTCAGACTCAGGCATTCAGTCAGGTCCTCCGAGAGACCGAGACCTCCTGCGTTTTCTCCGTCCGCAGGCTGCAGCTAGCACGCGGCGGTTCTTCTTCTTCCGGTGGTTGGTCCAAGATGGCCGGGGTGACGGCACCGGGAGGGAAAGCTGCGAGTGAACGCGGGCGAGCCAAGCGTCTTGGTTCACTTCAGGTCACGGTGGCGGGTGCGCGTCACTCTGCTCCGGCCATCTTGGACCCGCCAAGCTTGCGATGCTTCTGACGTCAGTATAGTAACTGTCCCGTATAATAATCTGAAGAAAATTTCTCCTGAATGCTAGTAATTCTCCCTTCTCGTTTGTGGAGGGAGACGGATGGAGAGATTCTTTGCTCCGTTGCAAAGGCACCGTGATCGTATAAGGCCAGAAAGGTAAATAGGCTGGATGCACCATGGTGGGGCGATGGCAATTTGGCCACAATTTGGAGGCGCTGCCTGCGATCGTGGATAGGCGATGGAGGAGCATACACCACGATGGTCGCATTTGGAAGCACTGCAGTTGTGCAGACGCGTGCAGTTTGATGGGAAGCTGACAACAGTTTGATAAGCACAACACGACGGTAACGACGACCACCCCCACCACAAAATGCGGTGGGACTTAAAGGCAGGGCAGCCGCCGCCAGCCAGTGCACTTCGGTCACCTCACTCACTCGCCCAATTATCACCATGTGCGAACATTTCAAGCACACGGTGATGGTGAATTCCAAAAGGAGTACTCCTGATAGTAACATTTTCTATCCATTTACTCTCAAATCCAAGATTCTCGTACCCTTCATCCAACTAGTCTTCATCAGGAATTGCATAGGAATAGGGAAAAAACAATAACTTGCAATAGAAATTCAGAGTATGAAGGTTAGGGAGGTTCTGTTACCACGCTTTCTCCTTTTTCTCTTCATCTTCTTGTTTTTTTTTCTTCTTCTGTATCTTCACTATGCATAAAAATTGTTGTGGGTAGGGAGTATGTGGTGAGAGGGATTGAGGGGCCCTATTTTCTGCATATGGGTAGGGAGTCTTCACAGTGGAGGGGTTCTTTCTCTTTTATTTTGTACATTTAGCATCTTCTTTTAAGCTTTAATAATAACTATAAACTTGTAGGGAGGATGGAGCTCAGGAGAGGTTCCATACTTCTACGAGCAGTAGAGGGGGGCTCGAACCCCTACCGATCCGGTGCTAAATCTGCCTTTGGATCTCAGGCCTCCTGTTCCTACTGAAGTTTCTAGTATAACCTTTATACAACATAGAAAAAAAACTTTGGAGAAATAAACAAGAAAATTAGTTTTTTTTTATAAAATCTGACTTTATGTTAGTTCCTTAACAGCTATAGATTCATTCATCTGAGAAACGAGAATCATCTGTTCAAGTGAGTGTCAGCCTGTTCGCTTAGTCGTAAATGATCGTGGATTATAAGACAGAATAATATTTTTCTCTCACACCAAACTAGGCAGCAGTAATAATCCATGATCTGTTTCCGCCGAAACGATTAGGCTGTGTGATGAAGTGTGCCATATAGCGAGATCTTTTTGGACAGACCTTTGCAGCAGCCGCTCTCACGTCTGCGAACCAAACCTTTCTCGAAGCACGTGCCAGCTCCGGAAAGAAGCTTCCCATCCGGCGCGTTCACATGCGAAGCCCCTCTTATCCACTGGCCAGTGCCCACTGCTCTCTCTCTCTCCATGAAGTCTTTTCCGCCCAAACATTTGATATCCCCTTCTAAACTTTACTCACAATCGCATCTAATATTTGATACTAATTTAAATTATAAAAAATAGACTAATTACAAAAGAATTGCACACATAGAGACTAATTTGTGAGACCAATCTATTAAGCCTAATTAGTTCGTGATTTGACAATGTGGTGCTATAGTAAACACGTGCGTTAATTAGGCTTAATAAATTCGTCTCGCAAATTAGTCTCCATCTATGCAATTAGTTTTATAATTAGCTCATATTTAGTTATCCTAGTTAGCATCCGAATGTCCGATGTAATAGGGACTGAATCCAAACACCCCCGACGCCCGCACACTGACACAACACGAATTCCTTCCTTTTCCTCGAATTGAGACGTCACAGATTTTTTTTCTTTATGGGAATTCACTAATTCATTTTATTTTTCAGGGAATATTAACTTAATAGTTTAGGCTTAAAATTGTAAATTTTTTATGTTTTAGCTCCTGGACTTTAGGTTGAGCCCATATCAATATAATATTGAGCCTCCATGCATTTTTTTTAATTAGCATCTTATTCTTTGATTAGTGTGGGTCACTTTCAATAAATATAAGGGTAAATATGTAATTTTTATTGGGCATTAATATGTCATAAAAATTCTAAAACATCTGTGAGATGTAGGGAGTAATAATTTATTGTTTTTTTGAACTCGGACGTCATGGTTCCCTTGAATTGACACGTACCAAAATTGGCACAACACAAAAGCAAAAATGTCTCGATGTGTCGTCTAAACATTTCAGGCGAGAAAAGGAGAAATTAGAAATGGTAAGTTGGACTACCACGTGAATAATATATGTCCAGTTGATTGGGGATCCTCCATCACGAATCCAAGTATATCTAAGTTGATTCTAAGTCATACTTTTAAAATTCTGACTAGCAAATTTTGTATAAAATATATTATTTTAGATAAAATGGTTAAAGATGAAAGTTTTTCATTTTAAAAGGAATCTAGTATGCAAACCTGATACTCCTTCCGTTCCATTTTATCTGGTGCAAGTTAGAATGACACGGTCTCATAGATTAAACTTTGACCATTCATTTGCTTTATATTATATTATTTATGCTTACAACTTATAATCATTGGATAGTATAATTCCTTACAAATCTAATCATAGAAAGTTTGTATTATAATAATTAAAAATTATTAGCCTAATTATTGGTCAAAGTTTTTAAAGTTTGAATCTTGATATGCGTGTGCGCCAGATAAAATTGAACAGAGGTAGTAATTTTTTAGATGAAAACAACTAACTTAAAATAAAATAAATCACATTTCCTATTGTACAGTCGCCTGAAATCTGGGCTCTCTCTCAGGCGACGTTCGTGCGCTCTATTTCCTTTGTTGGGTACGATCTTTCTTATCGGGTCCGGG